GGAAGGTTACTTTTTGTGAAAAGTCAAAAAATTCAAAAACGGACAAAAAAACTAAAAACTTTTGCATTCCGGGACCAAAATTTCATGTGTAATTTTTTTTTGGCGTAGACGCTAAAGGAGTAGAGTTTTCCAAATCAGCTCTAATCCGTGAAACAAAACCTTTAGATTTGGTAAGTTCGTTTCTGGGAAAACGAAAAAAAAATCAAAGTTAGAGGTCAAATATTCCATCCCCCAACAGATTTTTCGAAGGCTGTAGACAAAGTGTTAAAGCAAAGAGACCAAACGAGTATGCCGGCATAAAAATATGAGGAAAATCCTGCTACAAATACCACTTTCTCGAAAATCGGTAAAAGGGTTTTTCAGAAGACAGCTACTTTTTTAAGGGAAAAGATAAAATTTTCCAAAATGTCTCAAAAAGTTAAACAACTCAATACCAAACGTTTTAATAATACCCGTTTTTATCAAACAAGAGTTCTAGCCAAATATGCTCAGCAAAAGGTTTGAAATTCAATTTAGAAACTGAACAATTACAAAGCGGAAACAAGGCCGACAATCTTTGAGCAGACAAAGTTGAGCCAAAAAAAAATTATGTAAAAAAAAATTAAAAACTTTCAAGTTCACCTGAAACATCCCTGTAGAAACTAGCACCCAACCAGTAGTTAATAGTAATTTAGTACCCACCCAGCTAATACTCACCCACAAATTTTTAAACTGATCTTGTTAAACTAGTTGTTAACCCGAAAAAAAGTCTGCACTCTGGTTTGATAAGTGAATCGAAATTTGGATAGATAGCATAATGGAGATTAAATTTTTTTTTGTGGTTCAATTCACATTGATATTGGTGAGTTTGTCTGGCTCCAACAAGTCCAAGTGAATCGAAATTTGAATAGATAGCATAGTGGAGATTAAATATTTTTTTTTGTGGTTCAATTCACATTGATGCTGGTGAGTTTGTCTGGCTCCAACAAGTCCAAGTGAATCGAAATTTGAATAGATAGCATAGTGGAGATTAAATCTTTTTTTTGTGATTCAATTCACATTGATGTTGGTGAGTTTGTATGGCTCCAACAATTTCAAGTGAATCGAAATTTGAATAGATAGCATAGTGGAGATTAAATATTTTTTTTTGTGGTTCAATTCACATTGATGCTGGTGAGTTTGTCTGGCTCCAACAAGTCCAAGTGAATCGAAATTTGAATAGATAGCATAGTGGAGATTAAATCTTTTTTTTGTGATTCAATTCACATTCACGTTGGTGAGTTTGTCTGGCTCCAACAAGTCCAAGTGAATAGAACTTTGAATATATAGCATAGTGAAGATTAAATCTTTTTTTTTGTGGTTCAATTCACATTGATGTTGGTGAGTTTGTCTGGCTCCAACAAATTCAAGTGAATCGATATTTGAATAGATAGCATAATGGAGGATAAATCTTTTTTTTTGTGGTTCAATTCACATTGATGTTGGTGAGTTTGTCTGGCTCCAACAAATTCAAGTGAATCGATATTTGAAGAGATAGCATAATGGAGATTAAATCTTTTTTTTTGTGGTTCATTTCACATTGATATTGGTGAGTTTGTCTGGCTCCAACAAATCCAAGTGAATCAAAATTTGAATAAATAGCATAGTGGAGATTAAATCTTTTTTTTTTGTGGTTCAATTCACATTGATGTTGGTGAGTTTGTCTGGCTCCAACAAATTCAAGTGAATCGAAATTTGAATAGATAGCATAATTGAGGTTAAATCTTTTTTTTGTGGTTCAATTCACATTGATGTTGCTGAGTTTGTCTGACTCCAACAAGTCCAAGTGAATCGAAATTTGAATAGATAGCATAGTGGAGATTAAATTTTTTCTTTGTGGTTCAATTCACATTGATGTTGGTGAGTTTGTCTGGCTCCAACAAGTCCAAGTGAATCGAAATTTGAATAGATAGCATAGTGGAGATTGAATGTTTTTTTTGTGGTTCAATTCACATTGATGTTGGTGAGCTTGTGTGGCTCCAACAATTTCAAGTGAATCGAAATTTAAATAGATAGCATAATGGAGATTAAATTGTTTTTTTTGTGGTTCAATTCACATTGATGTTGGTGAGTTTGTATGGCTCCAACAATTTCAAGTGAATCGAAATTTGAATAGATAGCATAATGGAGATTAAATCTTTTTTTTTGTGATTCAATTCACATTGACGTTGGTGAGTTTGTCTGGCTCCAACAAGTCCAAGTGAATAGAACTTTGAATATATAGCATAGTGGAGGTTAAATCTTTTTTTTTGTAGTTCAATTCACATTGATGTTGGTGAGTTTGTCTGGCTCCAACAAATTCAAGTGAATCGATATTTGAATAGATAGCATAATGGAGATTAAATCTTTTTTTTGTGGTTCATTTCACATTGATATTGGTGAGTTTGTCTGGCTCCAACAAATCCAAGTGAATCAAAATTTGAATAAATAGCATAGTGGAGATTAAATCTTTTTTTTGTGGTTCAATTCACATTGATGTTGGTGAGTTTGTCTGGCTCTAACAAATTCAGGTGAATTGAAATTTGAATAGATAACATAATGGAGGTTAAATCTTTTTTTTTTGTGGTTCAATTCACATTGATGTTGCTGAGTTTGTCTGGCTCCAACAAGTCCAAGTGAATCGAAAATTGAATAGATAGCATAGTGGAGATTAAATTTTTTTTTGTGGTTCAATTCACATTGATGTTGGTGAGTTTGTCTGGCTCCAACAAGTCCAAATGAATCGAAATTTGAATAGATAGGATAGTGGAGATTGAATGTTTTTTTTGTGGTTCAATTCACATTGATGTTGGTGAGCTTGTCTGGCTCCAACAATTTCAAGTGAATCGAAATTTGAATAAAAAGCATAGTGGAGATTAAATTTTTTTTTGTGGTTCAATTCACATTGATGTTGGTGAGTTTGTCTGGCTCCAACAAATTCAAGTGAATCGAAATTTGAATAGATAGCATAATGGAGGATAAATTTTTTTTTTGTGGTTCAATTCACATTGATGTTGGTGATTTTGTCTGGCTCCAACAAGTCCAAGTGAATCGAAATTTGAATAGATAGCATAGTGGAGATTAAATCTTTTTTTTGTGGTTCAATTCACATTGATGTTGGTGAGTTTGTCTGGCTCCAACAAGTCCAAGTGAATCAAAATTTGAATAGATAGCATAGTGGAGATTAAATATTTTTTTTGTGGTTCAATTCACATCGATGTTGGTGAGTTTGTCTGGCTCCAACAAATTCAAGTGAATCGAAATTTAAATAAATAGCATAGTGGAGATTAAATTTTTTTTGTGGTTCAATTCACATTGGTTTTGGTGAGTTTGTCTGGCTCCAACAAATTCAAGTGAATCGAAATTTGAATAGATAGCATAATGGAGATCAAATCTTTTTTTTGTGGTTCAATTCACATTGATGTTGGTGAGTTTGTCTGGCTCCAGTAAATCCAAGTGAATCGAAATTTGAGTAGATAGCATAGTGGAGATTAAACCTTTTTTTTGGTTCAATTCACATTGATGTTGGTGAGTTTGTCTGGCTCCGGAAATACAAGTGAATCGAAATTTGAGTAGATAGCATAGTGGAGATTAAACCTTTTTTTTGGTTCAATTCACATTGATGCTGTTGAGTTTGTCTGGCTCCAACAAATTCAAGTGAATCGAAATTTGAATAGATAGCATAATGGAGATCAAATCTTTTTTTTGTGGTTCAATTCACATTGATGTTGGTGAGTTTGTCTGGCTCCAGTAAATCCAAGTGAATCGAAATTTGAGTAGATAGCATAGTGGAGATTAAACCTTTTTTTTGGTTCAATTCACATTGATGTTGGTGAGTTTGTCTGGCTCCAACAAGTCCAAGTGAATCGAAATTTGAATAGATAGCAAAGTGGAGATTAAACCTTTTTTTGTGGTTCAATTCACACATTGATGTTGGTGAGTTTATCTGGCTCCAACAAGTCCAAATGAATCGAAATTTAAATAGATAGCATAGTGGAGATTAAGCCTTTTTTTGTGGTTCAATTCACACATTGATGTTGGTGAGTTTTTCTGGCTCCAACAAGTCCAAGTGAATCGAAATTTGAATAGATAGCATACTGGAGATTAAATATTTTTTTTTTGTGGTTCAATTCACATTGATGTTGGTGAGTTTGTCTGGCTCCAGTAAATCCAAGTGAATCGAAATTTGAGTAGATAGCATAGTGGAGATTAAACCTTTTTTTGGTTCAATTCACATTGATGTTGGTGAGTTTGTCTGGCTCCAACAAGTCCAAGTGAATCGAAATTTGAATAGATAGCAAAGTGGAGATTAAACCTTTTTTTGTGGTTCAATTCACACATTGATGTTGGTGAGTTTATCTGGCTCCAACAAGTCCAAGTGAATCGAAATTTGAATAGATAGCAAAGTGGAGATTAAACCTTTTTTTGTGGTTCAATTCACACATTGATGTTGGTGAGTTTATCTGGCTCCAACAAGTCCAAATGAATCGAAATTTAAATAGATAGCATAGTGGAGATTAAGCCTTTTTTTGTGGTTCAATTCACACATTGATGTTGGTGAGTTTTTCTGGCTCCAACAAGTCCAAGTGAATCGAAATTTGAATAGATAGCATACTGGAGATTAAATATTTTTTTTTGTGGTTCAATTCACATTGATGTTGGTGAGTTTGTCTGGCTCCAACAAATTCAAGTGAATCGAAATTTGGATAGATAGCATAAGGGAGATTAAATCTATTTGTGTGGTTCAATTCACATTGATGTTGGTGAGTATGTCTGGCTCCAACAAGTCCAAGTGAATCGAAATTTGGATAGATAGCATAAGGGAGATTAAATCTATTTGTGTGGTTCAATTCACATTGATGTTGGTGAGTATGTCTGGCTCCAACAAGTTCACGTCCACCTGGTCCACATGTATTCGCACCATCCTGTACTTGGCACTCTCTGTGCTCATGCACACTCCACTCCCATCACCCGCCACGCCCCCTGCCCCTCCCTCTCCCCCTCCTCCGGCTGGCGCACCGGCACCGTTCTCTTCGCCACCGACAGCCAAGGTGGAGTTGAATAGACAGCTGTCTTTTTTCTGCAGATGCACACAGTGCCTAAACGAATAAAACATACACAAATGAAACACACTCGAAATGAATAACACTAACCTGCGGTCACATGTTCTAAAAGCTCAATTGTTGGTATATGGCAGCGTACTTAGTTATTGAATGACTACACACAGGCCCAGAGGAGAAAGTCCTAAATGTTTTCGAAAAATTGCCCAATTTGGGTTGCACCGTTCTTATCGCAATAAGTCTCGGAATTTGACCACCGAATTAGTTAGTACACTTTATTCAGAATGATTTTTTCTTTCAAGTCACGTGTCGTAATCGCATAATCAATCGCATCGCTCTATTTGAAATCATCGACATATGCATATGAGATTTAGGCCGGTGGGATTCACATCTCTTTTACCACTCGTTCGTCCTCTAGACGCACAAAAAGTCCCCAATCAGCACTTTTTCATATCTATTTCTCAGTCTTTTCCAGCGGTCACTATGGAGCTATTTAGTTTCAACTTGAAGCGTAAAAGTGCGTCTCATCCCATCTAGCATCCAGATTAACGGTGTGCACTTAGAGGTGCTCCTGTTTATTTCACCTTCCGCAGTCAAACAGTGCAGTGTGTAGTAGGCTGGTGGGATCCATGGCCAGCAGAGACACCTGGGAGTGGATGGCGTCCAGCAGGGACATCAGTTGTCCCACTGACCCATTGCCCCTCAGCGGCAGAAACTTCAGCTCCGTCAGCCACGCGTACTCCACAACACTCCCTCTCTGTCCACCCTCCAATGTGTTAGAGTAGCCCTACATACAAACGGCATAATTACCAAATGGCATAAAAGTTAAAAATTCCCAAATGGCATAACTTTCATGCAATAAATGCTTTAAAAAATCGAGAACAAGTTTTTCGTGAACAATAAAACAAAAAATTAGTCAAGTTGTCAATTCAAATGTTGATTGAAAATTTATTTTAAAAATTGTAGGTTTTTTTTTCAAAAGCGAAAAGCATAAGATTGGGTTATTGATAAGCTTATGATGGGCAACTTTTCCGACAAACTTGTGGCTTCACATTTGTCTGGAGGCAATTAATTCCAAATCTTGTTCACGTGTTTTCCTTCATGACAAAATGTTAAAATGATAAATTGATAACGGTAGAATTACAATGAAACCTTGAAACTTATGCCATTTGGGAAAAATTTTGTTTACAAGTCAATTGAGAATTATGTGATTTGGGAAGTTACCCATGAAGTTTATACTATTTGGGAAAATCTTCTTTTTTATGTCTTTTGTGAACTTAGCCATTTGAAACGTAATCCATACATACACACACTCTCTTTTCCATTTTCCAACATTACGAGGCCCAACTGTTAACTGTATACGCGAACCTTTTGATGTATGTATGTTACTGGAGTCCAGAGAAAAACCTTTAGACATATTTCAAACTTTAAGTGGTCTGCTCTTGTGAAATATTCATGGATTCAGCGCAGAAATATCTAGTAGCTTATAATTAGTCGGCAAAATGAATCTGTCGCGGATTCTGCAACGAGCGAGTATTGCAAAACTCCGCTATTATAATTGGTTTCCGCAGTTTTGTAAGCAGATTGCGCAACTTTAACAGCATATTCATAAAAAAAGAAGCGGAATCCGCATTTTTTTCTGCACTCAAATAAACTATTTCTAGCGTGATTAATTCAGAACTATATCTAAAAAGGATATCTAGGAAATCCGAAAACGAGTATAGAATGAACAACTAGCATCAATAGCAGAATGAATATCTAGCAGAAGAGCGTTATTCCCCCATAAATCCACCCCTGATTTCAGGACTATCAGCCCAAATTTCATAGTTTGTCAAAACTTCAATTACCAACAAACATTACATACGACCTTAAAACATTACTTAAGCGTAGTTAACCATTAAAAAATACTGATTTTGTTGAATTGAATTTGTAGAGCGATTCGAAGAGAGACTTTTTTCGATAGCTTTAACCAGACTTGAGAAAACTGGATCAACAGATAAAGTTTTAATTCCGCTGGAAATCTAAAATTTAAATTTAAATTTCGAAACTACCCACACCGAGAAAATTCTTTATTTCTGACCTAAAATACTTTGTATCTAATCTAATTTCTGGTCAAAAACTCTTTTCGAAATATTTAAATAAAGCAGGGAATTTCTTTAACTTCTTTATTTCTCATCCTAATTCTGATCCAAAATTAGCTAAATCTAGCCAATTTCTAGCTCGAAAAAATCTATTGATTGGGCTCGAAGTCCAGCCCTTCTAATTTCTAAACATTTACTCTATCCAATATGCTACAGCCCTTGCTGAATGTGTCTAGTTATAGCAAAATAAAACTTGTTATAACAAATGTAAGTTTGCATTGTAATCCTACTGTTATTGGGTACACTCGAAGCATGTCTATCTCGTTTCGGTTGAGCAGTGAACTGATTTCTGGTTAGTTCTTTCCAGAAAACTGTTTATTTCTAAACTAGAAAAGAAATGGATCACTTGAGCACGGAAAATGCGAGAAAACTAGATTAGATAAACTTCATAAAATTTCCATCTAGAAAAACAGCCTCCATTGGTTACGGGTATAAAAATCGTTCACGTTTTTTTCGCGCCATTTCCAAGTTCGTCTTTGAAGAGTGATATTTACGTCACTTTCAGCAGAACTGAAAAAGTGCATATATACACGAGTGCATCAATGCGTATCAATGCACATCTGTAGTTTTTAGACTTTTCCCTGAAAAAAAAAAAAACAGCTACTCCTATAGAAAAGTCCTCAGTGCGTTCATTGCACTTAAAAACAGAAGCCATATTAATAATTTGATAAATATGGGAGTATAGCAGAAAAGACCCTAGACTATTGCCCTGATATATGAGCAGTCTTGTTTAGAATGCTGGATAGAACATTCTTCAACATTGCGGCTTGCGCTTGCAGCTGTCAGAAAAGCCAACATAGTAGGACCTTTCTCTTTTTGCGCAAATGAATTGAACTTGAACTATATTCAGGATTGAAGTATTAAGCGAGCAGTGTAAATTAAATAAACTTCTTTCAGCGCGACGCGACCATAGATTCAGATTAGTATAATGGTGACGTTCAGAGGCTTATGTTCAGACATTGACCTGCGTAGCAACTATAGATTTTCAGCCCCAGCGCTGATCGATTTAGTTTATGTAGACTGAATATAAAACCGCAACCTCGGCCCGAGTTTTCCGCTGGGATCACGAAAATCCAGGTTTCTTAGGAAATTGGTCTGAATAAAAAACTACCCCAAGCATAAGTATTCCTCACTTTGTTCAAATAAGTAATCTGCCTCCTCGCAAACACAACTCCACTCAGAGAGGTTGCATTGTGCTGAGGGATGGCTGTTCACCTGTAGTCTCAGCTGCAGTCCCGCCAACGTCAGACGGTTCTTGTCTCCAAAACGGTCTCCCCCTCCCCCTGCCCCTGCCCCTGCCCCTCCCCCCGTGCCACTACGAGTGCCTGCACTTCCTCCCATTGCAAAGTGGTTCTCGCCTAGCACTCCCCTCACACTTCCTCCTCTTAGAAGACTGCTCGACTTACCAGACAAAATTGCCCTAAGCAAGTAGGACTGGGCTATATTTTGTCTGTACTCTTGGACGGGTGAAAATTATACGATGCGCCGTAGTTCCTCAAGGCCTCGAATCACTTTTTCTGATTCTTATTTGAGATTATATTCATTTTTTTTCTTCTTATTCATATTTGAGAGCAATAATTGAGGTACTTCTATTCAAAGCTTGGTCTGGGGGCAGTTGCCTCCGTCTCTTCGCAAGAAATCCACGTTGTCACCAACCCGTTGGTTTTCTCAAAACTTTCCAAAATGGCCATCAAATGGGCACAGTTTCTCAAAAATTGACATTGTCTGTAATTTTCAGCGGTTCCGGATCAAAAATTTTTGCAGATCTTTAAGTCATTCACTGCTTCAATTAGCTTAGAAATGGAGAGGAAAGCGAAACAACACACCTGTTCCTCGCACTTGCCATGCTGGTCATCGCTACTCTCGGGGGTTTCAGAACGTCGACCGCCGACGACTCCTTCTCCTCTCTCGGCAACAAAATGGTACAGGGCGACGACAGCAGCTGGAAGCGGAACTCCTTGAAGCGGGACTCGATCTCGATCAGCACCAGGTCTGTCCTGACAACCGGACTCGTTTCGTACTTCCTTAGGAACTGTGGAATATAGATGCACACTTTTTTGACGGGCACAGACACTCGCGCGATTAAGGGTCGGTTGGCCGCGTAGAAAGCAAGCGTGTCACTACCCTGGTAAAAAACATACTCGCAATTTATTTTCCCTACCACTCTCCTAGACAGCGGCTGGAATTAGCAGCCAATTTTGAGCACCTGTAACAAAACAGCACGTAAAATGTCAATTGTGGTATAATAATGAACCCCCTTTTAGTAAAAATTCCGATTCCAAAATTATGTCAGCGTCTATAAAATGTTTTCTGCGTTTTTCCTCCTTTTTCAGGTATTTTGTCAGAAGTTTGAGGAGAGACTGAGCTCCAAATTTTGAAGCTTTATTTTCACTTTTTATTCCACTGCATTTTTAATTTAATTCACAGGCTCCTTAACAAAAATTAATTAAACAACTTTTTAAGTGAAAATAGATTTTTTAAATGCTTCAAACTTAATTTGCTCACTTGTGTCGTTTGGAAAAGTTTCCTTGTCTTCAAGCGATGACTAAGCAACAATCAGCTATACATATTCACTATGGATTGAAAAACCCAGAATAGGCGAAATACAACACAATATCATACCTAATTTCAATCCAATTCTTCTTGTTGAAAATCGAACACTGATAAAGTTCATGATTAAAAAAAAAAGGATTTATCAGCCCAAGCCAGATTTTGTCAAAAATAGAAACCAGTTTCTGTGCAAGTAGCGCAGTTTTTTAATCTTAGTCACCTGATAAGACCAAAAATTTCCAATTTTTCATGTAACGTTTTCTATACTTCTTGTCTTCTCGGTTAATTATGACAAAAAAAATGATCAACACGTTTATTTAACAATATAAATTATCTCCAACTATAGTCGGTATTCAATCAACAACTGTTTTAGCTCTCAAAGACACTAGATGACGAATAGGCAGGTACTCAATCAACTGGCACCGAAGTGACAGACAACTCCAAAGGCGACAATAACAACTCAACAATTCAAACTCAAACTAACTGCTGTACTAAGTCAGACATGCATTACGTTTCCCTCTACAAATGTAGGGCATATATTAAAATTAGATCGCGCTCGCCGCTCAATTCTCGCGTTGGGCCTTACCACCGCCGGTTGGGCTTCAATTCAGGGATACCTTTAGGTCTCGGCTTACACTTAGGAATAGACGTTTTAGGCGTGCTGCTTTGTTTTCGGCCACTCCACTCCACTCTTTCTAAGAACAGATGCTATTTTGACTTCATCTAGTGTAACCGATTAGCGACATAATATATTTGTACGAGCACTCTTCCAAATGGTTTTGATAAGGCCCTATTGTATTAGTTTGTCAATTTCCCTATCCTTCTATTCCTGGAGAGAAATCGGAATCGGCCCACTTTTTTTTGTAATGGGGTTAATTTCTGAAACAAACCTGCCTGTACTTTTTAATGACGATTTCGCCCCATCCTATTAAATTAATTACTAAACTCCTCGCTGAAATGCTCCTGCCAGTCGTCATACAGGGTTGCTGGATGGATAAATTCGCATGCTGTGATAAGATATCGTCGTAATCTTGGAAGTTTCCTCCTTTGCCGTTACTCTCGTGAATGGTACCCACACGGACTCCCCCTTACTCCTCAGTATAATTCCACTCTGATCGCAGTTTAAACATTTGCGGTCGGACTCGCCGCAACCCGTTCCCCTGAAAGAACCACTGCCACCCGTTGGAATAGGCGAAGATACCCCCTCCCCCAAATAGCGCCTACCGACTCTGTTTTATCTTTCAATGCCCCGCCAATCCTGTCGCTATCCCGCTGCCCGCCACCTTCTCACTCTTTGCGTTTTTATCTTCTAATGGTAAACTTTGTCTGGTGTTTTGTTCGATTTGCAAAGTTCCGTTTGCGCCTTTTTTTGTTCATGATAACAATGAAATACTTCAGTTAAAACACTTCTCTCCAGTCTCGCCAGATTACATCGCGGCGCCATCCCACTAAGTACTTCATGAAACATTTCTAGCATCTTGCCTCCTCGCTGCTTTCTTGAAATTAACTGGTACGTCTCGAAAAATTCATATCGATCTTTCTTAAACACCTCCTCAAATTCGTCTAATACCGTCGGATATCTCGTCGTTGCAATACCTCAGCGGGACGTTCGGTTATGCAATTCATTTTTTCCACGTTCACCCAATAATAAGCATAAGTTTGAGAGATACATTTTTTAGCACCGATTCTAATTTTTCCAAGTGCCTCCGTCGGTCAAGTCGCAGATCCTGCCTCTTTCATTTTTTTTGTAAAATAAACTGAGTTAGGAATAATTATATGTTTTGCCCCCATGTCACACCCCCTCCCCCCAGGTGAATCGAGTTATTCCGTGTTCCCACGGCATTAGTACCTCAGTGCACTTATTCGTTCAAAACTCCGTAATCCCGAGTGTTTTCTTTTCTGGTTCCCGCGCCGCGTACTGCTTGCTGCGCCATGAAAAACCATGGTTAACACAATTTTTTAAATATTTATTTTCTCCCAAACAATAATTGGTATTCAATCAATAACAACTGTTTTGGCACTCAAATACACTAGATGACGAAGTGCGAGGTGCGTAGTCAAGTGACACTGAAATGACAGACATATCTAAGGGCGACAAAGTTAATTCAAAAAATGCAAATTCAAACTAATTGCTTCACTAAAATATACATAAATTACAAATAGCAAGAAGCTGTTAACTTATAAAAATAAAAGCTGAAAATAGATGAGAACTTAGGTTAGCAGTCCAATTTTGGTCATCTACTTCTGCTTCAATTTAAGTAATAGAGTTTCTACCGTAGTAAGTCACCGAGGGAACGCCGTATGTAATAAAAAACAAATACCTTCAAAAACAAATTGTTTCAATGGAGTCAAAAAGTAGCAAATCATTAAAGGATAAATTATCTTTGCAAACCAAATTGTTTGATTATAAAAAGGTAAACTTCAATGATTCATATACTCTGTTGTACGTTGCTCGCTCCAACAAACAGTAATTTTAGGCTATTATTAATTACTAAGCTTAAATTCATCTGTATATAATTGGAAATTAACCCTCATATCAAGATACGACAGAACGTTTCATAACTTCAAATATAATTCATTTGGAGTTTTTTTAACAGGTACAATTGCGAATGTGCTTGCTTTAAAGAGTAAGTGATTGATTCCTTCAACACCAGAGTTTGATATGTTACTGCTATATTGTTTCCAATCGAGGAGAAACAAGTTTTTCACCATCTCGACCAAAAATGACGATGTTTCGACGGACTCGACCCAATCTGGCTGTTTTGACCGACTCGACCGAAGGAAAAGATTGTTCAACTGTATTCAACCCAAGAGTACTATTTTTTCACCGACTTGACCCAAAAAAGCTATGTTTCTAAGTACTCGGCTGAAGCAAAAATAAGTTCGACTGAGCTCGACCCAAACTGGCTATTTTTCGACCGGAGGAAAAAAGTGTCCGACTGTGATCGACACAAGCATGATATGTTTCGACCATTAATCTTTCTTGTTTAATGTATGCAAATAAAAAATGACAAAATTGATGTTTTTCACCACCAAATAGTATAATATCTTGAAAGTTTTTTTTCTGACATAGTGTAAACATATTTTTTGATTAATCAGATTTTTCAAATTGGATGTGAGAAAAATCTTAAATGTAGTACATCAAAACTTCATTATTAGTTACTTTTTAGGCATAACATTGCTTCTCGGACTTTTGTCCAAGATCATGTGCAGCCCATTTTTTGAGTTCCACTATATTTCGAGACAGTTCGGCCATGTTTTGACCACACTTTGTAAGCGAATTGTTGTTCTGTTCGACAGTTTCACCATACTTTTTGTCGACTCTCTTTTGACCACACTTTGTATTCGAATTGTTGTTCTGTTCGACAGTTTCACCATACTTTTTGTCGACTCTCTTTTGACCACACTTTGTATTCGAATTGTTGTTCTGTTCGACAGTTTCACCATACTTTTTGTCGACTCTCTTTTGACCACACTTTGTATTCGAATTGTTGTTCTGTTCGACAGTTTCACCATACTTTTTGTCGACTCTCTTTTGACCACACTTTGTATTCGAATTGTTGTTCTGTTCGACAGTTTCACCATACTTTTTGTCGACTCTCTTTTGACCACACTTTGTATTCGAATTGTTGTTCTGTTCGACAGTTTCACCATACTTTTTGTCGACCGCGTGCTCGACTCTCTTTTGACCACACTTTGTATTCGAATTGTTGTTCTGTTC